GCATTGTGATGTTAGAGGAAGGATGAATCAACTGAACTGTGTCATTGAATCATCTATGGGTTTAATACAATTGAGCTGAGAAAGCCTCTATGGGTGCAACTGTATAATCTTGCTACACAGATCACCAAGCCATTGCTCATTTGGGGAGATTTTAATTCAGTGCTAACTATACAGGACAAATTATATGGGATCCCAGTAACTAGTAATGAGATTCAAGACTTTGCAAATTGTATGCAATGTTTGAACTTATGTGAGTTACCTTGGAAGGGGGAATATTATACATGGTCTAATAAACAACAAGGTGTAGATAGAGTTTTCAACAGGATTGATAGAGCTATTGGTAATGATGAATGGATGAATAATTTTGGACATATGGAGGTGGATTATAAAATGCCTTTTATCTCAAATCATGCTCCCATGATGATCACCCTAAGGAAAGCTGAATCCAGTGGCAAGATTCCATTTAAGTTCTTTAATGTTTGGGCTGATAATGAAGACTTCCTGTCAGTGGTTGATGGAGTTTGGCAGACACAACTGCATTCAGATGCCATGAAAGACATCTAGTGCAAACTAAAGGTTCGTAGGTCTGAATTGAAGCAACTTAATAACAATGAGTTCGGAGAAGTAACAACTTAGAGCATATCAGAAACAGGCTTCTGGATACCCAAGAGCACCTGAGCAGAGGCTACACTGATGCAGTTGCATTAGAGGAGACAATATTACTTGAAGAACTGGAAAGATGGTCACTAATAAAGGAAAGCATACTTCAACAAAAATCCAGAGCTAAATGGATAAAGCTTGGTGATTCTAACACCAAATACTTCTCAGCTGTAATGAAGGAGAGGAGTCAGAAAAAAGTTATTGCAGAGCTTACTAATGCCTTTGGAGATAGACTCACTGATCAGAAGCAGATTCATGTTGAAATAATTAGCTTTTATAAATCTCTTATGGGATCAAGATCAGCTCATTTGTCTGCAGTCAACAAAGAGATAATGAAAATGGGACTTGTCCTCACACACTCTCAGCAGGTGAACCTTTGTGCTGAAGTCACTGAACAAAATATATTTTTGAAGCATTAAATGCAATTGGGGATGATAAAGCACCAGGAGTTGATGGCTACAATGCATTATTTTTCAAAAGATCTTGGAGATCAAGCCAAAAGTGTGTCAAGCAGTGAAGAATTTCTTTCATACGAGCAAACTATTTAGAGCTATCAACTGCATAGCCATCACCTTGATTCCTAAGGTTTCCCATTCTACAAGTATCAAGAAGTATAGACCTATAGTTTGCTGCACTGTTCTGTATAAATTAATTGCCAAAATTCTTGCAAACATACTGCAAAAAGTTATTGCATCAGTTGTGTCAGACACCCAAGCTGGTTTCATTCCCGGCAGGAAAGATGCAGATAATGTCCTGCTGGCTCATGAGTTAGTTAAGGCTTACTCAAGAAAAAATATTTCTCCAAGATTCTTCATTAAAGTGGATATACAGAAAGCATAAGATACTGTTGACTGGAGATACTTACACCGAGTATTAGAATGTCTGGGATTCCTACTTCAATTTACCAACTGGATAATAGAGTGTGTGTCAACAGTGAACTATACCATTCTCATAAATGGAGAGACAACTAAGGCATTTGATGCAGTTAGAGGGATTAGGCAGGGAGATCTTATGTCTCCATTTCTCTTTGTCATAGCAATGGAGTATCTGAGTAGGAACCCGAAGACACTCAAGCATGAGAAAAATCTTTCACTATCATCCTATGTGTTCTAGATTGGACCTCATTCATTTGAGCTTTGCTGATGATCTTCTTATTTTCACAAAAGGAGCACCACTTCTATTGTTCTATTAAATCAAAAGTGCACCTTTTCAGAAGCCTCTGGCCTTAAACCAAATCTAGCCAAAAGCGCAATATATTATGGAGGAGTAAGCAATGAACTGAAGCAGAAGATCCAACAAGCATTAGGGTACAGTCAAGGAGTGTTGCCTTTTAAATATCTGGGCATACCCCTAGATACAAAGAAGCTATCAGTACTACAGTGGCATCCCCTTATTGCCAAAATTGTGAGCAGGATTTCTTCATGGACAACAGAGAAACTTTCCTATGCTGGCAGAATACAGTTAGTCCAAATATTTATCTTTGGCATCCAAGCCTATGGGCTTAAACCTTTATTATACCGGCTAAAGTCATCAAAGCAATTAAAGCACATTGTAGAAGCTACATATGGTCTGGGGTGAATACAATAACCAAAAAGTCTTTAGTGTCATGGGATGAGATGTGCTCTCCAAAAGCTGCAGGAGGATTGAACTTGATTAACTTGGCTATGTGGAACAAAGCTGCTATCACTAAAACCTGCTAGGAACGGGCCAACAAGAAGGATAAGTTATGGATCAGATGGATCCATAGCTACTATATCAAAGAGCAATATTTTAAGGATATGGGAGTACCCAAGCAAGCTTGTTGGATGGTTCGAAAGGTCTTTGAGGCAAGGGACAGACTGCACCTTATAAACAACTTGTCACAAGGCTCAGTTACAAAGCAAGTATACCTACAACTACTAGGTGTATTACCGAAAGTTCCATGGAAGGATTGATGTATCAAAACCAAGCAACACCAAAAGCCAACTTCACTATGTGGCTTCAGGTGCAGGGTAGAATACTAACAGCTGATAGACTGAAGAACTGGGGAATGCAGATAGCAGATACTTCCTGTTTCTGTCAACAAAACCAGAGACACGAGATCATTTGTTTGTTGAATGTGAATATGGTAAATGTCTATAGCACATGCTCATGCGCTGGTTGCATATTCAGTATCCTCATATAGACTCATGGGCAGCAAATCATCAATGGATAGTTAAGAAAACGAAGAGCAGATATCAGCTTGCAAGAGTGCTTAAGCTAGTCTACGCAGAGTATATTCATGCATTGTGGATTGAACGAAATTCTCGGATCTTTGAGAAGAAAACTACTGCATGGGAGGTCCTAGCTAAAAGAGTGGCTTGCACATGCAACTTCAGAGCTGAAAGATATACACGAGTGTTGCTTAGCAATTGTAAACACTAGTGCGATCTAGAATGTAGAGTGTTTTTTCAGTTGGATTTTCTTTTATCTTGTAAAGTAGACTGAGTTGGTCTACTCTGATTTGTACATATTACATTGGTGATTAATTCAAATATTTTAATTACCAAAAAAAAAATATAATCCCGAACTTCATCTTATCTAATAAGTACATTGAGAAATTTTATGGCTCGAATCTTTAGTATTTTTTATTTATTATTACTTGTGTCTACTATTTAGACAGAATACCCTAACAATCATGTCAATAAAAATAAATTTTAAAATTTAATCAAACTTTACATAATTTGATTCATGATAAGCGAAATATAATACTCCATCAAAATTGAAACAGATGTGGTATTGCATATTGAAGTAATACTATATCTTAAGGAAATTCTGAGATTTTCTGTACCACCGTACCACCATTGAATGCCAAGGGACACCAGTGCAAACACAAACAGTGACAGCACACCACGAAAAGGTTTGCTATACAAACCAGCCTCGTGGGGGCCTCTTACTGTTTCAAGGCTAGACTCGGGGCCCTCCATTTTCTTTGTAAATGACAAAAAGGTCCCTATAATGTTTGGGATGGATTTAAATAGTCTCTCCAGAAACATTTACGGGCAGTCTTGGTCCTTTGATTTTACCAAAAGTAATTATATTTGATCATCGTCAAATACTTAGCTAGCGTTTGGCCATAGATCCCAAATTTGTTTTGAAAAATTTGATTTGGGTGAAGTTTGGTTTGAAGATGAAAATGTGTTTGGACATACGTTTTCAAAACATATTTTCCAACTTTATTTTGGAAAAACATGTATATAATTCTCAAGTTTTGGGATTTTGGCCCAAAATAAAAATTGGGATTTGGCCAAAATATGGGCAAAATTTATGGCCAAACATGAGTTTTGAAAATAATCCCAAATTTATTTTGGCAAAACTCATGGCCAAACGGGGCCTTAGTAGGCGTTTGAACATAAGAATTGTAAAATTCCAAAAAATGGTGAAAATTTATTTTAAGTCAAAATGGTATTTGAAATTTAGAGTTGTGTTTGGACATAAATTTCAGTTTGAGATGTTTTTGAAGTTTTAGTGATTTGAGTGAAAATTTTGGAAAACAGTTTTTTGGAGTTTTTTAAATTTTCAAAAATTTCGAAAATGCATCTTCAAGTGAAAATTAGAAATTTTATGAACAAACGCTGATTTCGAAAAAATATTTTTTTTTTTTAGAAAAAGGAAAATTTTAGCTATAAAAAAACTTAACCAAAACATCAAAAAGTCTCGTCATATCTCAAAATTGCAACACAAAAAATTACAGCAGCCAAAAAAATTATAGAAAAAAAAAACCAACAGAATTATACCATAAGAAACTGCACCAAAAATCATCAATAGACAAAAAAATGAATAGTTAGAGGTTTAAAATATATTAAATATTTTAAACTTAAAGAATAAAAAATGCTCAAAATATATTTAAGAGGACTATTTTGCACCTCAAGGGGATCTTGGAGCAACAGTAAAATTATCTTTGTGCAAACTATGCATCATGAGTTCGAGCCATGGAATCAGCCACTGATACTTGCATCAAAGTACACTGCCCACACACAATACTTCGTGGTACAGCCCTTCTACAAATCCTATATGAACACAAAATATTTCGTACATCGAACTGTCTTTTACTATTTTGTACCAACCCAAACATGAGGGATCAAGTCTTGTCATTTTCTTGGAAATATTTTCTGCTTGCGTTATGACCGTTTGGTTGGATTGGAACCATAGAGTTAATTTATGACCGTTTGAGAAACAATTCCACTGACATATACATAGTACAGATTACAGTCAAATACTTATATGACAATAAGCTTTTTTACACCAAAAAAAAAAAAAAAACAATAAAGCTTTGGCATTGTTGCTCACTTTCCTAAATCACAGTCCCCTATACCACTATTCTTTTAACACCCATATAGTAATTTGTGTGCTAAATACATAAGATTATACATATAAAAAGCCACCCAAAATAGACATTGAGCTCCACCTTCCACCGTCTACTATACCATTTTTCTTGTCTCGAGAGCTCCATTTCCCCATAACAGAGCTTCTTTGTTCCTCTTAAAAATATCTCCTTTCTTCTTATTCTTCTTACTCTCACTAGCTCTATTAATATTCTTGAAAGAAAAAAGAGAACAAGAATTTCTTCATAACTAGTTCTAAGATCCTGGCACAAAACAATCATGGCTACTGCTTTTGTACTGTCTTTAATAGTTTTCTTGGCTTTCACTGGTTACTCAAGTAAGCTGCTTGTTGCTACTACTTTCACTTCAAGATCTTTTTTTTTCATTTTCCATGTGTTTCTTATGATGGGGTTTCACCAGATTTTGCTCTTAGTTTGTGTATCCAACAATATTTTGTTCAAAGATTGAGTTTTTAGCTCTCTCACTTCAAGATTCTCTTTTTCCTGCATTTTCCATGTGTTTCTTTATAAAGGGTTTCACTAGATTTTGCTTTTAGACTGTATCCAAGAATTTATTATACAAGATTGAGTCTTTTTTTCTTGACAAATTTTCAATAATTTCTGTTTCTTGAGCTGATTTCTTATTATGGTTTTTTTCTTTCTTTCTAGGTGGTGCTAATTACTGTTTGTGCAAAGATGGGGTAGGAGATAGCCTTATGCAGAAGAGTATAGATTATGCTTGTGGAAATGGAGCTGATTGTACTGGTATTCTTCAAAATGGACCTTGTTACAACCCTAACACTATTAAAGATCACTGTAGCTATGCTGTAAATAGCTATTATCAGAAGAAAGCTGCATCTGGTGCAACCTGTGACTTTTCTGGAACTGCAACTTTAAGTTCAAATCCACCATCTTGTAAGTTCCTAAAAAATCTTGTTTTTCTTCCTTTTGTTTCCTTTTGTTTTGACACTCTTATTCCTCTACCAGTCACTGATATTGTTCTTTTGTTTATTTTTTCAATCAACAGCCTCTACTTCTGGATGTTATCAGACCACCCCTGGGTAAGTTTCTTAAGGTTTTGTTATTTTTGATGTTAGATCTTGTATTTATCTTGTCAATATTGAATCTCAAGCATCTCCTTAAACTTGAATCTAGTTCTCATTCCAAAAACTTTTTGCTATTTTCCCACAAAATGAGTTATTTTTTTCTTTTAGAGTGTAGTGAAGTTCTTTTTCTAGGACAAAAATGGTGATAATGGCCCTGATTTAGTTAAAAAATAGAAGGGTTTTTTGGTCCCTTTTTGGCTGGATGATGCTTGCTTCACCTTGTAGCTAATTCTCAATTTGATCTTGGAAAAATATTTTTTTTCATGATTTTTCTGTAAATAGTCACCTACCAAGTAGGGCTGGTGATATATGGAAGTTAAAACTCTGTGCTCAGGGTAGAAAAAGGACCTATTATAAGAAAAAAAGGTGCAATTATTAATGCTAGATATGAACTTTGATGTATGAGTGAATGGTTGGAAGCTTTTCCTAATATAGTGATCTTTTTAATGAAGATATAATTAAAGATTGTTGTTGGTGCTGTCACCTGTTTTCTTTAACCTAAATCTATCAAATAGTCATTCTTAGTGTCCTAATTGTGACAATAACATTCAAACACAAGATGAGCTAGATTCATCATTATGTATGCCCATGTGACCTGTTTTTGATGTTGATATAATCTGTATTTTGGTGTTGTATTTGTCATTTTCTCCCATTGTCATGATGAAAATCTTTAGTTGACATTGTTTCCAGCCATTATGCAATATTTTACAGAACCAAAGTCATTTCCACCAATTCTTATCATTCATATAACATGCTTACTCTAGACTATACTATAATAATAACACTAACATGCTTGCTTTGGACTATACAATAATGTCAACAACATTAACATGCTTAGTCCGGACTATACTATAATAATAACATTAACTACGCCTCAATCTCAAGCAACTTGGAGGCGGTTACATGAATTCTCATTGTTTATGTTACTCTATTTAAGCTCGTCTCAGTGTACTCGGGACTTCTCTATTCTGTAGAACTGATAATTAAATATAGTGGATGATCTTGTTCTTGATTCATATTGTTTTTACATCAGCAACACCGGTGGAGGTACCACTACTGTACCAGGAACCACAACTCCAGGGATTGGGACCGGCACTGGGACTGGCACCGGCACCAGCACTGGGACTGGCACTAGCACTGGCACCGGCACCGGCACCGGCACCGGCACCGGCACGGGAACTACAACAGGTATTAACAATCCTACTTTTGGGCTAGGACCAACAGGAAGTGGTGGCTACAATCCAGATGGCAATGGCACAGAGACTCTTCATCAAAATACTGTCTTTTTCACTATAGCCATTTTGTTTACAAGCTTGGTATGCTTAAGACTCTAAAGAAAATGATGAATGTGAGGCAGTAAATGAAGGGAAGGAAGGTTTGAGAAAGATAATGTGGACTTTTGGCACAAAGTATGGGTAGCCATTTTCAATGGTCAGTAGGGGAGAATCATCTGGACACACTTCCACTTGGACTTTTTCTTTTTATTTCTTTCTTTTGTTTGTTTTCTTCTTCTTGTTCTTTCTCCATCTTCTTTGCTCCTTTAGTGAGTGAAAAAGTTTGGAATTAGATTCCCTTTTGAAGTGGATGTGGCTGTTTCTTGGGTAGTAATGTAGAAGAATCTGATCTCTTCTTTTTAGATGTTCCTTTTTTGTATATCTGGAGAATAGAAGACATAAAGCTGTATTGTTTATTTTAGAGATGTTATCAATGAGTAGTCACTACCCTACCCCCATCTGTGGTAATATTAGTGCATTTCTGTATTAAAATATAACCCCCTTCTAGTTCCCTGTCCATCTGTCTTTTAGTGTTTTCTATTCCTTCATCTTGTTTCTTTGTGCGTGTGTGTAGAGAATATTAGCAAGTATAATTGAAAATCCAACTTAAAGAAATGCAGGAATACGCTCAAGTATCCAAGTGTCAGGGCGAAAGGAATCTTGGTTTTTCACAAGAGAATAAACCAAACAAGTGTGTCTCCTTCCAGTTTCTTTACCTAAGCCCTTTTTGAATGGATCTTACATGCGAAACCAAACAAGGTTTCCTTCTAGTTTCTTAACTTTGCCCTTTTTGGCAGCACCTTACATGAAAGGTCAAAAGCTACTTAAAAACTTTTAGAGGTGGTTTGGACGTGTATTAGAGAAAATAATGCAAACATTAGTTTTATGTATTTGTAATATTTTGTTTGGTATATTTTTTCATATAACTAATACAAGCATTGGTTATACATCTTATTTGGTATTATCCTATGTATAGCTAATGCATAGCATGGTATTAGCAATACCAATGCTATTAAAGATAAAATTATCCTTAAAGTCCCTTAAAACTAAAGAACATGGAGGACATTTTTGTAAATAACTAGTTTTCTTAAAAATTATGCGATACATTTAATTTTTAATACACCACAACAAACAATGGATAATAAATAATCTCTGCATACTAATGTTGCATTACTAGCCCATGCATTACTAATACACTTATTCAACACTACTCTTATACACCCTACCAAACGACTCCTTAATGTATTTTAGCACTCACGGGTTGATGATTTAGCACTCAACGGCGTGATGTAGGATCAATAAAGTGAATGAATCATGAGAAACCAATGTTCAAAATCTTGTAGAGACAAAAGAGTTAGGATAATCGTTTTTCATTTGTCTAAGCTTTAGTGATCAGAGTATTCTAGTTTATAAACTGATGATAAATAAAATGTACATTAAATACAGTAGTCCAGCGTGCAAGCTGGTACGATCACTACTTTAAGCAGAGGCGGATTTAGGGGGCGAAAAGGGATTTACCTCTATATATTATGTTTTGAACTCCCTTAACACAACCCAAAAGTGTAGTTTAGTGGTCAAGGGGGTTCAAAACCTTCATAGGTTCAATTCCCACTAGCTACAATTTTTTTTTTGAACCCCCTTCGTGGGGATCCTGCCTCTGCCACTGACTTTAAGGTGCTAAAATAGAATCTTCAAAGCAAGAGCTTTTGACCTTAACGTAAGATGTAGGTGAAAAGGTCAAGGTAAAAAATCTTGAAGGAGAACTCGTTTGGTTTCATTAAAAAAAAAAAAAAAACTCAAGGTTGTTTCACTTGGATGGTGACTCCAGTGCACATGCACGACATCTTTCAATGAGCCGGATCTTATTATTATTATGATATAATAAGGGATAATGACTTGAGAACTACTTTTATACACCAGTAGCAACCTTTGAACTTTATGTAGAGCCCCCTTTGAAAATGATAGCATGTGAAATGTTGTACTTTTGTTTCACAACAAGGATCTGTTAACACCAATAGTTCACTACTCCTGGTCTAAGATTGTTGTAGGTTAACTCTATCTGTATGCAGTCTTGCATCAATTAAAAAAAACAACATACTCAGTATTACTCAGTATATTCTCTCAGTGTGGGGTCTGGGGAGGGTTATGTGTATGTGGACCTTACCCCTACTTCGCGGAGATAGAGAAGCTGTTTCCGATAGACGTACGCAATCTTGCATCATAAACTTAAAAGAGAACCAGATCCCAAGAAAATTAAGAAGAGTCAGAAAACATGTAGAGAAGCCTTCCTCCTAAGCAAGACAGAAAATTCTAGCGACATCTATCTTTCGACAAACTGTTCAGCAATATCCCTTGGCTAAGTTACTGTAGTTTCTCATCCCCAAGATACGTTATTCTAACTGCCAATATCACAAGTAATTCCCGATTTCTAGAGATTAACATCTTTCAACTACCTCTACCATTCACTGTTAATTCGAAATGTTCCTGAAACTACCATGGTTCCTGGCACGAAGCTCCAATAGGAGCGATATAAAAAGGACAGCTCGGTGCACTAAGCCCCCACTAGGGGTGTCAAATTGGCGGGTTGGGTAAATTTTGGGCGGGTCAAAATGGGTTAAAATTCGGGTCATAACCCAACCCGCCCAACTCTTATTAAACTTTAATTAATATGTGTTATTTTCTTATAAATTGTATAATTATGAAATAAGGCTTTTTTGCTTTTGTTATGGTCATATTTAAAATATTAAACAAAAAATAAAATTATTTCTAAGATATTTTGACAAACTTACTCATGAATCAATTTGGGCTAAAAATTAGCCCAACTTTAAATGGGTTGAGATGGGTTGGGTCAAGATGGACTAAGTTCAATAAATGGGCGGGTCAATAACCAACCCAACCTTGGGCGGGTCATTTGGGCTTGGGCCAAATTTGACAGCCCTAGCCCCCACTATGCGCGGGGTCCGAGGAAGGGCCGGACCACAAGGGTCTATTGTATGCAGCCTTACCAGCATTTCTGCAAGAGGCTGTTTCCACGGCTTGAACCCGTGACCTCCTGGTCACATGGCGGCAACTTTACCAGTTACGTCAATGCTCCCCTTCTCCAGTAGGAGCGATATAATTCTAAATATATTAATACAATAAGTTCACCACTGCATCAAGGCGCAAGCTAGGATTCACCAGCCATAAATTCCAGCTCCGAATATTGAAGAAAAACTGAGAAACATGTAGAAGAATGCTAACATATTCAGCTAATTACACTGCTAAGTATTCAGTTTATTACACTTATGTACTGGATGGGAAAGCACCTTTGATATGTAGGTAATAAAGCTGATGGTGCTCAAAGCTGGCAAACTAACCTCATCACTACCTATAATGAGGAAGCCGGATCTCCACATGTGGGGTATGCTAACTATCTGCTTGTACAAGTACCAGTAATCAAACAAGAACAGAGATGGTCGAGACAGAGTCAGGATTTGCCCTTTGTGATTGATCAGAGTGAATGAAATCCATTATCAACTTGGAGACAGCATCAGGCTTCTCCACATGGGGGATATGGCCGCACTTTGGTATTTGGCGTATAATAGCATTTGGCAGTTCACAATGCAATCTCTGCGCACATAAGAATCAACAGACACTTGGTAATACTTATGAACCACGTATTTGGCTGCGACAAGCCAACAAGTTTCTATTGTTACAAACTTGAAAGAAACATACCACTCCGAGCTTGTAGTCAATTATCTGATCATCTTCACCCCATATTATTAGTGTTTTCTGCTTGACCTGCATAACAAAACTTCTGCTAGCATATAATGCTGTAGCATTTTCCATAGGGACAAGAAGAAAACAAGTAGACAACATGGAGAACGGATACAGCAAGCAAAACACATCTTTATGCAATGTATCACCAGAATTCGAAGCGAGGAGATCCAGTCAGCCCCAAAACATACTAACAGAAAATTATGAGGGGGACAGGGAGAGATTCATTATAACTCTGGTCTCATTTACATACCATACAATTGATTTTATTGACGTCCAAATCTAATAGGTTTGCAATGTCTAGAGAAGTTACGTGGAGTTTGCAGTTAAGACTTGTGGCATATCACTTGTCTGGACTGTTTAAGAACAATACAGCATATTGAATATTTCTTACTAAAACAGACTTTTCATAATTAAGCCAGTGGCCAGGATTTCCTATATTTAGAGTCCCATAATTGCATGTCCAAATGGCAGCCATGTTAAGATGAAACTAATTAAAATCATTATTCCTATTCTCCATGATCCAATCATTGCCTATTAAATACAGCAAGATAGTGTTGCTCCATATCAGAGTCGATGCAAAAGAAAGTAGCAAAAGGTCGCAACAGGCACGTCTATTTACGAAACTTAAAGAAAATTTAGTAAATTTGTACATACATGTTCTATCTGTGCAACAACATTGTAACCTCCACTGATCATGAAATTCACTGTTGCATCCTCCCACCAAGGTAACAAACAATGTAAGCGGCCAATCTGGACAGAAAACCAGATAATCAGAAGGCGTAGTAAAACAAGGAGCATAAAAAATATGCCAGAAGCACATTGTGACCATCTGATCTGCATGACTTTTAGGTTTCTAAAAGATTACAGGGTCAAAACTTACATTAGTCCAGTCTATGCAGGTATTTAATGGTAAGCCATTGAAAGTTAATGATGTTGCATATAAGCGAAGTGGAACACTTTTCAACAAGTAGACCTGCAGCAGGTTTGTTATCAGATTAGTGAAAAGAACAAGAAATATAGATGGCTGATGCTCAAAGAATGTTGTCTAAAAAATATACGAGCACATGTTATATCTGAGATCTTTCCATTGAATAGGAGACTGAATAGTAACAAACTGATACTAAGAGTTCTTTCTTTAGTTGGGGCCGTGCAGCATCAAGAGAAAGATCTGATAGACAAAGAGAGTCAGTATAAGGATGCTAAACTTAGCTCAATTAAGGATCAATCATCATTAACAATTAGGGAAAGTTTCTCTTTTTTACTTTTTGAGTTTGCTAATCAGAAAGTCAATAAACCACAATCTGTGTAACATATATTTGCAGTTACATCAAATAATCCAATATGGAGTAGAAAGTATCCCGTTGTTTTAAGAGGACAAGGAGGGAACTTACCCCAGCATAAGCTACTGCTTTGGGTAAGGTTGCAAGGTTTCCTGTACCTTCTGCATAAACACTTGCATCGATTAAAACCAGCTTATAAACCTGATAAAGTGAAAGAGATGTTGGATTAAGCATAACGTTATACCTTCTTCATACTAGAAAGTAATTTATAATATCTGGACATGGATCCACAGTTACTAATGTACTTACTGCTTCAGGATATTTGACAGAAAAGTCAATAGCAACAGCAGATCCAAGACTTGGTCCGACAAGTACCATTGGCCTCTTGATGTAGGTAGACCACAGCTGAAAGAAAGACGAGACTGAAAAATTTATAAAAAGAGTCAACGGAAGATTCTTTCAAAATTCAAGATCCGCTTAATTCTTTGATGTGGCTGTTCACCAGGGAGACCTACCTGACCCTTATTGCCCTTTCAATGGTTTCTACATATAAACTTAGACAAGTAAACACTACTTCCATAATTTTCTAGTATAGGACCGTGCCTAGTAAGCAAAGTGCCCCTTCAGAATGCTGCATAATTGTGATATTATACCACTGCCATGGGGTATAACTTTGGCATGTGCCCCTGCATATTACCATACACTACTAGGAGAAAATTGAATGTGAGTTTACCTTTGAACTTAGATATGCAACTTTGCGTTTATTAGAATGTATAGTGAAAGAGACTAGTTCCAAACTTTTAAGTTTGTATGCGCTAGATTAGTACATACATTTTAAAATCAGTAAGGTACCTGGTAAAGATGATCACGCTTGGAAGCTACATCACACGATGGAAGCCTTTCTTTGATATCACAGGAAACAAAACATAAGAAACCATGAGCAAGTCTCAAGTCTTTGTTTGCAAAATCTTTCTGAAAAAATGAAAAATCGGGAAAGAACTAGGACAAGACAATGTACCTAAATCAGAGAAACCCCATCCGAGGATATCAACTGCCCATGTCTCCAACCCAGCCTCCTCAAGCATCGGAAATGTGTACCTCCACTCTAAACATGAGCTGAACAATGAGGTATAATGAACAACAGGCACAACAAGAGAAAGTGGTCAGAAGTATTAGCTTGGCGTGACGCATACCTATCAAAACCATGGAGAAGCACGACTGGATTTTTGGCCTCTGTCTGTTCTTTTGGCTTCACACAACTACTCAAGACACAACCCTTTGATAAGTTTACCTAAAATGAAGCTGGATCATCAAACTAAAGCAGTAACCAGAGCTTTATAAAGAAAGAGAGCACTTAATTCATTTCAGAGCACGATATTTAGATATTTGAGTTTAGAACTATTAGAAGGAACATAATTCATTACTTAGTTTTTTCCTTGTGATTCTGGTTAAGCACATTCAACCTTCAATTATATTATATGAGCAATTTTGATCCCTTCGACCGTAAATCTTCACAAATTTAACGAATTATTAAGTGTTAAACCATTCAATTATCAATGTATTATGTCAAATTTGTAATGTTACTCCATATTTGAGAGTAATACAGTCCTAAAATAGTCAAAATATCACATATTTCCTGTATAAAGTGAGACGTGGTAGACTGTTAGTTAATTGAAGGTTAAATATGCTTAGCCAAATATTGCAAAGATCAAAACTAGAATTAACAATAACTGAGGGACTAAAGTGCAATTATCCGAAACAACTCAAAATCATCCCAAAAATGAGTAGCAAATTTTGAAAGTAAAAAAGAAAAGAAAAGCGTACAGGTACTCTTTCAATTCGTGAAGCCAATTTTCTAGCAGAAGAGTCTTTGATATTCTCGACTTGTTTAGGAAGAAAATCCGGAAATTCAGCAGCTCGGATCCTTAAACGCCTCGAAATGGAGAATTTTACATTGTGTCCGATTAGGATTGGTGGAGGAACAACACCGGCTCTGGCTGAGAGCATTGTTAGCATAATAGTTGTGGGACTCCGCCGTGCACGGTGGCACTGGTTTTTCAACTTACTCGTACAAAGACGAAGTGGAAGAAGAATTTATGTTGGTAGAGGATTGGATTTGCCATGTGGCCGTTTCTGCGTTTCACTTTTTTCATTCTTTTTTCGTTTTTTTTACGCACTACTTCTTTTCATCTCATTTTAATTTGACTGAATTAAGAATATTAATAAAAGAAAAACTTATTGTAGCAGGTATGAACGCTAATGTATTCACGCTTTTTTTTTTTTTTTTTAATAAAACAAATAATTATGCGCCAACCACAAATTCACATCAGGCCAAAATTATACAAAATAAGTAATAACAAAAATAGAAAGTAATAGGAATTCTTTATACATAAGAGTGATATAATTCCAGATATGCACAATAGAACTGTACTGCTCCAAGCTGTTTTTCTTATAACATTTCACGGGGTACCTCCTACCTCCAACCAGCACAAGTATCGAGTAACTCTGCCGTCAAGGCTTGCAACTGCTACAAGCTATGATTCACAGACCATAACTCGAGTTCTATATTGAAGAGAAACCGAAAGAATTATGTACCAGAATGCTCTGCTAATTCAGCTAATTGCACTGCTTAAGTATTCAGTTTATTTCACTTCTGTACTGGATACCAAAGCACCTTCAACATATAGGTAAAATAGCTGATGTTGCTCAAAGAATGAAAGCATAGTTCACCATTGAAACTGGCAAACAAACCTCATCACTAAGTAGAATCTGGAAGCCAGATCTCCACGTGGGATGCGCTAACTGCTTGTACAAGTACCAGTAATCAAACAGGAACAGAGATGGTGGAGACTGAGTCAAGCTTTGCCCTTTGTGATTGATCAGAGTGAATAAATTGCGCAATTAACCTGGAGACAGCATCGGGCTTCTCCACGTGAGGGATATGACCACACTTTGGTATACAGCGTAGAATCGCATTTGGAAGTTCAGAGTGCAATCTCTGTGCACACAAAAGTCAACAGACCATTCAGCGACTCGACATACTGCATATTTGGCTGATAAGAGTTACCAGGTTTATATTGTTCCAAAATTTGAAAGAAACATACCACTGCGAGCTTGTAGTCAATAATCTGATCATCTTCACCCCATATTATTAGTGTTTTCTGCTTGACCTGTATAACAGAATTCTTAGCATGAGAATGCTCTAGAATATTCCACATGGACAAGAAGAAAACCAGTAGGGAAGATAGGAAATGGAGCTACAGCCAAAAAAAAAAAAAAAACACTCTCAGTGCTATAGAAGCAGAAGCAAGTCTGGATTCAATCAGCCACAATTCTAGTAGAATGATCCGACAAAAAATTAGTATGAGGGCGCTAGAGATCAACGGTAACTCCAGTCTAATTTATTACCAAACCAATAATATTGGTGATGTCTACAACTAATAAGTTCGGAATTTCAAGAGAAGCTCAAAGGTGTTTGCAGTCCAAAATAACTGTGATAAGTATACATGATACTCCCTTTTTTCTTTCCAGAAATGGATGTTTTTGGGACAACCCAAAAAGGAAAACCGATAATTAATTGGGTAGAAAGAGGAATATGAAGCAAGTGACATGGTTTCCACCTAATAGACTCGTGGTTGAGGTGAACATGTAAACTTCTCATTATGCTGATTTGCTGGGCGGACAAGAAATTGGCATATCACTTTTCTTTCTGGTCTGTTTGAAAATATACACAAGAATTTTACTTACTAAAACAGATTTTCGAAATTAACCATTTGGCAGGAGTTTCTGTATTTAGACTCCAACATTGCATAAATGACTAGTAACACCACATTTTTTTACGGCTAGTCCCCAGAGCATCTTTTATAGCAAAAGAATCTTGCTTGATACCACAGTCATGAGAAAAGAAAGTAATAAAGGTGGCAACAGGCATGTCTATATAGGAAAATCTTAAGATTATTAGTAAAGTTCAACATACATGTTGTATCTGATCAATGACGTTGTAACCTCCGCTGATCATGAAATTCACTGTTGTATCCTCCCACCAAGGTAATAAACAATGTAGACGACCTATCTGGATAGAAAACCATGTAATTAAAAGGTCTGATAAGATAAGTAGTGCAGACGCCCATTCCAGACATCTGAGCTCCACGACTTTCAGGTTTCTTAAAGATCAGAGGGTCGAAACTTACATTAGTCCAGTCTATGCAGGTACTTAATGGTAAGCCATTGAAAGTCAATGATGTTGCGTATAAACGAAGTGGTATGCTTTTCAACAAGTAGACCTGCAACAAGTTTGTTGTCAAGATAGTGAAAACAATAAAAAATATAGATAGAAGATACTCGAAGAATGCTGTAAACATATTTGAATACATGTTATATCAATCATTTAGATCAGAATCTTTCCCTTCAAGTAGCAGACTGAATGATCAGGAGTTCTTTCTTTATTAGGGGTTTGCAGCTTTAAGGGAAAGATCTGACAAACAAAGGCTGTCAATATACAACGGGTGCTAATCTTGGATCAGTGAAGTTGATTCAATCATCATTAACGATTCTCAATTTCTTTAAAGCTTATCATAAACCAAGTTCTTGGTGAAACCACAATCCTTATGATATAGATGTTCAGTTACATCAAATGGTCAAAATCGGAGTAGAATGTATCCCTTTTATTTTAAGAGGACTTAAATGGACTCACCCCAGCGTAAGCTAATGCTTTGGGTAAGCTTGCGAGGCTTCCTGTACCTTCCGCGTAAACACATGCGTCGATCAAAACCAGCCTATCCACCTATAAAAGTAAAAGACTTCAGAGTATTGACCAAAAAAAAAAAAAGCTACTTCAGAGTAAGCCATAAAATGATAGCTCCTTCATACTAGAAAGTAATCTATAAATCTGGATAGGGATTCACCGTTATTTAATATACTTACTGCTTCTGGATAGTTGACAGAGAAGTCAATAGCAACAGCAGATCCGAGACTCGGTCCAACAAGTACCATTGGCCTCTTGATGTAGGTAGACCACAACTGAAAGTAAAACAAGACTGAAAATATTCAAAACAAGTAAATGGAAAATTCCTTCAAACATTTAATATCGGACTAATTCTTCAACATGGCCTTACAGCAGGGAGACCTGTCTGACTCTTATTGACTTTTTAGTGGTTTGTAAAGATAAACTTAGACAAGTAAACACTACTTCCATAATTTCCTAGTATAGGGATGTGCCGAGTAAGAAAGGGTGCCCCCATAATGCTGCATAACTGTGATATCATACCACTGCACAATGGGGTACAACTGTGGTATGCGCCCGTGCATAGCAAGTATAATAGTAAACTACCAGAAAATAATTGAATGCGACTTTTAACTTAATTTTGTACTTCCATATGCTTCTTAATATTTACTTATGTATGCTATTTTACATTTATTAGAATGTCTAATAAAAGAGACTTTTCTTTTTGTCTAATAAAAGAGACTAGTTCCAACATTTGAAGTTTGTGTGCATTAGATTAAAAGGGCAGCCCAGTGCACAAGGCATCCCGCGTTCACGCATGCTCCAGGGAAGGGTCGCACCCCAAGTGGTGTGATGTAGACAGCCTACCCTAATGCAAGCATTAGTGCTGCTTTCACGGCTCGAACCCGTGTCCTATATGTCACATGGAGACGACTTTACAGTTGCTCCACGGCTCCCCTAGATTAAGACATACAATTCATAAAATCAGTAGGTACCTGGTATAGATGATCACGCTTGGAAGCTACATCACACGATGGAAGCCTTTCTTTAAAATCACAAGGAAACAGAAAGAGATGAAACCATAAGCAAGTCTTCAATTTTTGTTTGCAGAATCTTTCTGAAAAAGTGAAAATCAGGAAAGAACTAGGACAAGACAATGTACCTAAATCAGAGAAACCCCATCCAAGGATATCAACTGCCCATGTCTCTAACCCAGCCTCCTCAAGCAATGGAAGTGAGTACCTCCACTCTAAACATGTGCTGAACAATGAGGTTGATGAACAACAGGATCACAACAAGAGAAAGCGGTAAAAACTATTACCTTAGCACGAGGCATACCTATCAAAACCATGGAGAAGCACAATTGGATTGGTCTCTGTCTGTTCTTTTGGCTTTACACAACTACTCATGACACAACCCTTCGACAAGTTTACCTTAATGAACCAGCAATGAAGCTGAACGTCAAGGCAGTAACCAGAAACTTTATAAAGGAAGAGAATGATGGATTCAATTCAAAACAGGAGAAGCAAGATATTTAGATATCTGAGTTCAGGATTAAAAGGAAAATACATATTACAAGAAGACTAAATATTTGCAGATCATGGGTGGACACCACTGAAAAGAGTTTAGAAGTATATATTTATAATAAATCCACATGCATTGTCACGCTAGTATGTGCAGTAGTATTCATTATCTCTATTAAAATCCTGGATTATTCCTAAACAACCATGACTAAATAGAAAATACTCCCTCCTTCCGAATATATGATAAGTCCTTCCCATTTAGGATATTCCAAAAGTTTTTGACACTATTATCATTTCTGTAAAATGTTCACAACTTTCAAGAAATAAAGTTTATCAAACTATTCAAACTTCAGACTTGGATTTAATGTTTCCTCTACAAAAGAAAATAATTTTTCAACCATTACTTTAATTTTTTCTTACAAATTTCAGGTCCAATCAATACCTTCATATAAATCTGGATGGGGGAGTAAACAATTATTCACTACTTATAAAGAAATTTATATTTTAAAAAAAAAAAAGAAGATTTATCCTTGTACTTTGTTATCTTATCCTAATCTAACATCCCCAAATAGAGATATCAAATAGCCCTTATGTCTAATCCTTGGTGGGCAGAGTTACTCGATACTAGTGGGAGGTAGTAGCTAACGAGAATAGTCGAGGTACACACAAGCTGGCTCTCGAGCACCGTTGTCATAAAAACATAAAAATAGCCTGTCTAGCTACCATAAAAACCTGCATGCATGGTGCAATTCTTGTTCTTGTACACTGATTTTAGGTTCTAAAACACCAAAATTTGCTACCTATGTGTTAGTATTTGTCCAAAGAAACATAATTTTACTCATCAAAACAGAACCCATTTCACAAAAAGTACAGATTTTGCCCCAGGTGATTCCCAAAGCTACATGCAACTTTCAAAGTGTACTCTTATTAGTTCCTTAGCAACCAAAATGGAAACACAGAAAAAAAAGATACAGAAATTATTAAAAAAATAGCACATTTTGAAGCTAATAAAAATAGGGGAAAACATACTGGTAATCTTTCAATTCTTGAAGCCAATTTTCTAGCAAAAGGATCTTTAATATTCTCCACTTGTTTAGGAAGAAAATCCGGAAATTCACCAGCCCATATTCTAAAAGGCTTAAAACTCCAACATTTTCTTCTGGGTCCAATTCCAGAGAAAAGTGTTGGTGGCGGAGCACCACCAGCTCTGGCTGAGAGAAGTGTTAGCATAGTGGCATTGGGTTTTCTGCTACTCATACATACATACAAAGAAGAAGAGTGAGTAGCCATTATTATATGTCGGGACTTGCCTACTCGGTTGCAAGTTGGATTTGACATTTGGCATCAGGAGAAAGGTTCAGCAATGTGGCCGTACATGCATTTCACGTTTTCTTTTAGTTCAATTTTCCCGCTTCCTATTATTAATTAACGGAGAAAAGGTCAAAATATTGAAAATAGGAATTTTTTTCATACCAAAATATACACCCACATACCATGGGGTGGCTTGGCAGGGTGTACGTTTGGTCATAGATTTTGGATTTAGGTTTTTAAAAAAAAAAAATTAAAAATAATATTTCTTTATGAAATATGATCATGTTTTGGGAAAAAAAAAAATTAAGTTCCCACTAGTTTTTGGGCAAAAAATTTTCTTCCACTCATAAAACATAAACTTTTCTTAAAATAAATTGCATGTCCACACACAACTTCAAATTTCAAAAATTATTTTCAACACAACTTCAAAAATTCTTTTTTTAAGTTTCAATCAAATCTATGTTCAAATGCTAATAGTGCTAAATATAGTGAATTAATAATGCTATGATTAGTAATATTGGGATTGGTTATGTTGGTATTATTTCTTATCCACTGTTTGATTTGGTGTATTATGTATACATGCTTGTCCATGTATTAAAAACCATGGTATCACTAACGTTATAGTTTGTAAATTGTAATGTATTAGTTATACATAGGATAATACCAAATATGATAAAAAACACTACCAAATAACGGATTAATACCAAAGCTAATATACCTATTATTTTTCCTAATTACCAAACAACCCCTATGTGTTCACAGTAATTCAACACATTGCATAACTGTAAAAGCGTATCCGATATTTATGCCAAATCAGTAATAATAATATATGTATATTCAGCATACTTTTTTTTTAATCAACTATGATTAATTAACGTGTATCTCACTTATTACTTAATCGTGATAAAGTATATTGATTTGATATAAATATGGGGGTGCGAATTTATTTTTATCGTAAATACTCCTCTCTTATTTTATTATGTGTCCTACCTCCTATGAGTCCTAAATATTATAGTGATGGTTGAGAATTGTTTTTGGTAACTTTTGGAAAAAATATTCAAATAACTAATCTTTTGTAGAGAATATGAATTTTTGTCGTATCCTACTTGCTCATTCGCAATCGCTATAATAAAAAGATTGTCGATATCTCTAAAGGAGTTTATGCACTCTATATTTTCTCAAATATCGAATGTTTTGACTCAAATTAGATTTATAGAAACACTATTATTTTAGATCAAAGAATGAATTCACTAGTGTAATATACCTTACAAGAAACAAATAAATGCACGCCCTGTACTAAATGAATTGAGGGGTAAGCTTTGATAATAATATATGTTCTTATTCTATTATCTATCCTACCTCCTGGCCCTGTGTATTCTAAAAAGGATTGAGAATTGTTTTTACTATTTTTGGTATAACTTGTTTTATTTATTCAAATAGCCTTTGTATAATTCATGAATCTTAGTTATGGTATTCCACTTATAGCCTGTTTGGCCAAGTTTTTTTTTGGCCAAAAGTGCTTTTTTTTTTTTTTGCCAAAAGCACTTTTGGCCAAAAATTGAGGTGTTTGGCCAAGCTTTTGGAAGGACAAAGTGCTTTTGAGGAGAAGCAGAAGCAGTTTTGGAGAAGCAGAAAAAAAGTAGCTTCTCTCCAAAAGCACTTTTTTGAGAAGCACTTTTGAGAAAAATACACTTAGAAGCAGTTTTTTAAAGCTTAGACAAACACTAATTGTTGCTCAGAAGTGCTTTTCAAATTAATTAGCCAAACACAAACTGCTTCTCACCAAAAGTACTTTTGAGAAAAATACTTTTGAAAAAAAGCACTTCTCAAAATAAGCTAATTTTTGCAGCTTGGCCAAACGGACTATTATTAGCAATCTCTATCTCAAGAAAGTCTGCAACCAAATTTCGTACTTAATTAACTGCCCACCCTAGTTATGCCCACCTTTATAACAACGAAAGAAAGCATCCAATATTTCTAAACCTCTCCATACCATATAGCTCCATCCAGAGACGGCTCAAGCACATACGGGGCCTAAGGCTATAGTTTAATATGAGGCCTAAATTTTTAAAAGAATTTTATTTGAAGTCTATTCTTCTAATTTTTTGAGATATAAAGTTGTTAATAATTTTTTTTATAATCGATTTTCTCTAATAGATTATGTCCAATTGATAATATAACCAACTCATTTAATCTTTCTTGAGAAATTATTGATCTTAGATAAAAATTTACAGAGCAATAGAAGTATAAAACTATTGAAAACTTAAAAAATATTGTTTAACACTTGAACTAATGAAATCTTTGAGAAAGAAGGTAAGTAATTACATCTTGGAGAAAGAAAGTGAGCAAGAATATCAAAGAGAAAGACAGAAAATATGTAGGATATTCTGAAATATGAAGAGAAAAGAAATATTGAGTTGGACAAATTAGGGAAGAGAGAGCAAAATTTTTAATGAAATAGTAAAAAATGAAAAACTGAAACGTTGCAAAATCTATTCATCTACCCAATTTTAAGTAAGTCAAATTATTACCTCATTTTTATATCTAAAAAATTTTCTTTCCTTTTATATTAAATACTCTATTTTTTGTATTAAAAATACTAAATATTATTTTTTAAATACTTATGAACTTATTATTTTTTAAAAATGGGGCCCCTCAAATTTGGGGGCCTAAGGCACAAGCCTTACCCCTCGTAACTATGGAGCCGACCCTGGCTCCATCTTTTCTGATAGGTAATTAATTATGACAAAATTACACAATAATGCACTTCATAAGTTGATCTTGCACTATTTTAGCCCAGTTACAAGTTTGCAAATATGTAGCCAAATATCAATAAGATCTTTTCTTTTACCATTCCCTCTAACCATAACAGCCTCGTCTTTTTTTTTTTTCATCACCTAGCTACCCGTATTGTAGCTATCTCCTCATTTTTCACCCATAAATATTTTATTTTGATTAATAAAAAAAAGTATCATATGCAAACAAAAAATGAAAACGAAAATCAGTTCCCTATTTTTAGTGTAACCATTGTTCGAGACACTCAGTCAACACTAATTCATGCCTTCTCCCATAACCAACATTTCTCCGAATTATTTTTTTCCGTTTTTTTTTATTTTGCGTATCTTTAGGCATGAAATATCCGTGAGTTTTTATTCTCTTTTTTCCTCAAGTTTATACATACCTATTGTCGCGCCCCCTTTTTTCCTCCTCGCGGAGAACGTTCGGGTTTCGACATTTCATGGTGGAAATAACTCTTTTCCTTTTGGGAATTGGGTTTTTGAAGAGTCGTCACCTAACGAATTATGGTGCGTTAGGGCACCTTGAGCAATTAACTCATGGACTAGTTTGCGTTACCAGAGATTTAGGGTAACGACTCGAAATAACCTTGAGGGGAAGACTAGTTTGCATTACCAGAGATTTAGGGTAACGACTCGAAATAACCTTGAGGGGAAGGTGTTAGGCACCCCTCGTGGTCCACAACGGTGGGTCCCGACCGAACTTATACTCACGTGAATTAGTCAAACAAACAGATAAACAGTTTTACCACGTACTTGTAAGTAAAGGCATGTTTTGACATTCAAGTAAACAAGGAAAAGGGTTTGAACGGGTTGCACATATATAAAGAAAAGTAAATTCATTTAGACAACGGGAGTTAAGAAAAGGGGTCCTAGGTTGGTTAGCCTACAAGATCACCCCACACAATGCCCGGTAATCACTCCTCAATGAGGGGCTACACGTTGACATTAGCACGTAGTCATCATATCCTTACTACCCAATTCCCTCCCCTTGGTCATAGCCTAAAGCGTTCTAATAACCTTGAAAGATATCATATGCGTGCACTACCCGTCCCTTCCTTGTGGCCCTGGAGGTATTTAGGACCTCTAATTTCGGGTAGTTCTAGACCATCCTAAGGTGTTTAAAGGAGAAAAGTCTAGGTGTCAAACAAAATAAGTAGGACTGTATTAAAAAAAAAAAAACAACTAAAGGCTCATATTTACCTCCACAAACATAACAAACAAATGCATGTCTCAGACGATTGTTTTTAAGTAATTNATCAAGTAAGGTTTGGGTATAGAGTAGGCAATTAGGGGTAAATGAACAGAAGTTTCAATTAAGGAAACAATCAGTAAGAATCAGCAAAATAACAAACAAGGCAAGGGAAAATTAATTAAGGCAAGCAGTTCAATTAAATCGAGTAGAGAGGTAAGAATCGAAAGTTTAAGGGAAAGTGTTCAAATCAAACCGGGAAATAAGGGATTCAGAATAATCAAGGGTTCAATCAAAGAGAAAAATCATGGAAGAGTCAGCAAGTTTAACATATAAAATAAGGTAAGACATGAATAGTCAGGATTCGACACATAACTTTAACAAGACAAAAAGTTAAACGACACTAATTCAAGGAGAAAGATACAGGTCTTAACATGAATAGTCAGGATGAACACAAACATATAGAATCAGTGAAAGGGTTGAACTAAGAAATTTAGCAGAAGCATATTAGGACAAGAAAATAACGAGAAATCACAAGAACCCAAAGCAAGAACACAGTCGATATACCAGTACCCAGAAACAAAACGTAGAACATCAGAAAATTAGGGTTTTTAGTACAAGCGAGTTAAGGTTGTAGCAAAACTTACAAAATCAGTCAAAACATATGAGAAGCAGAAGATCAAACACTAAATAAATCATCAAACATTTTGTAAAAAGAAATTTCGAAAACCCTAGTTTAGAAAAAGATAAAAATCAATTGAAAATCATACGATTCTTGTAAAGAATCTCAAGGTTGTTGTAAAACTCATATGAAACGAGTCCAAATCATCTCAGATCTGCACAGATCTAAGAGGTTCAGAAAAAGAAATTTAGGGTTTCGAAGAGGACCATACAAAGGTGAAGAAACATGCTTAGAAACCCATAGATCATAGTCAATATAAGACGATCTTACTCGGAAGCACACTGGAATGGCCTGAAACAGGCGAGAAAGGAACCATAGATGCAAGCCAACT